GCAGTTCCTGCTTTCAGCAGGCCAAGCCCCCTCCGCATCACGAGCTGCCTGTGCCACAGCAAAGCCCCCTCCCAGGCTGGGCACACCAGGACCATGCTGCTAAGCCCCCCAGACCCCTGCCTGGTCCCCTCTGCTGTCCCCTGGCAGCAAACCCAAACTCCCTGCCTCAGTGGCCAACGTTTCTCCAGGCTTAAAATAACCAGCATCTGGCAAGCTCAGGGGCACCCGCCTCGGAAGCATTTTCACCTGTTGTGTGCAGAGATGGATGGGAATGGGCTCGTGTTCAGCAGTGCTGCTGGGGAGCATCCTCACAGGGATCCCCCCTCCCTGCTCTGCCTGACTCCAGCAGCTCCCCAAGGGGGGCAAGGGCAGGGGAGTCTTGCTCTGAGAGAGCTGAGGCTCCCCACTGGGGAAGGAGATGCGAGCAGGGTCTAGGTTTTTCCCCAGGAGAAGGGAGGTAAGGCAGGATTTCCTCTGGACAACAGGAAAACCCCTCAGTTGGGTGTGAGGAGGGGCTTTGCAGGGTTGTGTCCTACTGGGAACACTGGGAACGTTGGCATTCAGAGGCATTTGCAGGAAGGGTGAGAAGGGACATCTGTGGCCCAGGCTACAGGAACATCACCAACCCCAAGACACCCCAGCAAGCTGGAGAACCTGGGTGTCCCAGCTCCTGTGGGGTGGGGATGGAGCCCAACACACCCTGGAGCAGGACAAAGCACAGGAGACCCTACTCTCCAGCAGAACCTGATCCATGGAGCAACCAGTGCCTGCAGAGCCCCATGGAAGGGGTATTTTAGGAAAGTTAGATGCTTTTGCCAAAGCTTTTATTAGCGGTTGCTTCTGGGCAGGTTGTCACCATCTCTAGGACGTGTCCTGGTGCATGAAGCCAGGCTCCAGGTGGCTGAGGCTGCACCACCACTGCTCTGCAGGCAGCACAAGCTGTACCCAGCCTCCTGTGCCTTGCTGTGAGGGGCCCAGCCTCTAATTCCACCTCAGATGGCAGTTCCTGGAACCTCCACGGCGCTTCCTGGCAGAGCTTAATCACTGGAGCTCAACAGGCAGCTAAAAGTATCCTCCCTGCAGGCCAGAAGGGCCCTGCCTGCTTCCAGGAGGGGATCTGCAAAGAGGTTCTAGAAACCCTCCCCGTGCAGGGTAAGCAAATCCCCTCCTGCAGTAAATAGCAAGGGCACGGTGCCGGAGTGTGACAGAAGGAAAGGACAGGCAGGCACCTGATCCTTCTGGAAAACCAGAGCTTGGAGACATCTTCCAGAAAATGGTGACTTGAAACCAGCTGCTCAAAGGCCAATTAAGAGCTAATGGGGATCACAGCTCTCAGTTACAGGCTTTGCCTTTCCGTGGCCAGGAGCCCATCCGAGGTGGTGCTCCCAGGGCTGGAGCCCAGCTCCATGGCAGAAGCAAACCCATCCTCACTCCCCATCATACTGCCCAGGGACAGCTATGGCCAGTGCCCAGCTCCTGAGGGACAGGGATCACACAGGGCCTGGGGGCTTCCTGGGACACCCAGTGTGGAGGAATCCCACTGCCATGCCTATTTACAGCTTGTGGGAACATCCCCAAGGGTCCATCCCCTGTGCCATGGTCAGAAGCCAGGGAGCTGTTGCAGGTAGCCACGTGCAGTGGCTGAAGAGCTGTTACCAGGGGCTCACTGCTGCAATTCCTCCAAGTGAGTGTTGCAGTGATGGTCACAAAACGCTGAGTCCTGGCACTCTCCTACCACCCCAGGCAGATGGAGAGCACATTTTCAGGAGCAGATCCTACTGCCTTAGCTGCTTTCTGCCTGGCTCAGCATCCTTCCCTGTCCTCTCCACACCACTCACAAGGAACACACCCCACTGTGTGCCCCTTTCCCCACCCTGGGCTTCAAACCATGAACATACCCCATCCTCCCTGGTGTCAGGACAGAGGTCCCCTCCCTGGCCCCATGCCCAGCCCAGCCTCAGGGCAGCACGCTTCAGCAGCAATGTGTTTAGATACCAGGGCTGCTGGAGCAGCTCTTGGGCTGCAGCCCCACAGTTGGGTCCCACACCCTCCTAGGTGGAAGAAATCTGGCAGTGCCAGCATGGCAAAGGGACCTGCCTCACCCAGAGCTGGGATCTCCACTCCTAGAGCAGCCAGGGCACCACGGCAGAGGGCAACAGGCACAGACAGGAGGGTGCTGAGTCCTACAGCACCCTGCCACCTCCACCCTAGCCTGGCACAGCCCACTGGAAACATCCCTGCAAGCACTGAAGCTCTCCAGCAGCATGCAGTGCAGATGGACTAAGCTGCATGGGCATGAATAAAAGGACCCAGCACAGCAGGCTAATAGGAAACAGCTTGGATTTACCTCGGGTCTATTAAGGACTGAATTTGTCTGCCCTTCCATCACCCGGGCTCTCTGGGGGGGGGGCTGGGAGCAGGGCAGTTCCTCTGCCTCCCCTTGCCTCATTCCCAGCCCTTGTGGCTGGGAGCTGCTGATCTCCTCCATCTGCTAAACCTGCTACAAATGTCACCTCACCGACAGACGAGGCTTGACAATAATAGGGCATTTCAACAAGCCTCCTGCTTCTATTTAGATGCAACACACATCCTTGTTCACAGTAATGCGTGTTGAATTATGCAGGAACCAGCTTTCAATTTGCTACAAGAGGCTGAGGAGCTGCAGTGCCAGACGAAGCCATTTATTTCAGCTCCCTCTCTGGGGTTTGTTTGCCAGTCAGCACAAGGCTGGCTACAACTCCCCTGAAGTATTTTTTAATCCTGATAGCCATCAGAGCCTCCCCAGCCCCTCCTAGCCACGGCTCAGCTGCCTCCTCTAAAAAAGCAGCTACCTGGCCAGGGGACCCCTCTGGCTGGAGGGCATTGCTGTCTGCAGGTCCTAGCTGGGCTCTCAACTGCAGGGGAGCAGTCAGCTCTGAAAAGCCTCACCTAGGAAGTCAGCCAGAAAGGGTTCTTGTAGGTAAAGGCCAAAAGGAGCATCCCATAGAGGCAGTCAAGACTTAAGAGTCCTCCAAGGAGCAGCCCAACTCTGAGATCTCCTGTCAAGCCCTGCTAGATGAGGTCTTCCTGGCTCAACCCTCCAAGCCTCATATGAAGAAAGAGTTGAAGTATTATTGCAGCAGAAAAATACTGCAGAGTCATAGAATCCCTCTGGTTGGGAAGGACCTCTAGGATCATCCAGTCCAACCTTCATCCCAACATCTCTCTAACCACTAGACCACAGCCTCAAGTGCTGCATCTACTCGTTTTTTGAACCCCTCCAGAGATGATGACTTCCACTTGCTAGAAATAGCTGCACTTCATCAGCTCAGCCTCACAGCCACCCAGCACAGAGCAGCAGGAGGTGCAGAGGGGGATCTGATGGTCCTGCTCCCCTGCACTAGCCAGATTGTGTCCTGCTGCAGCCAGGAGATGTTCCCCACTCCAGCCTCTCCCTCCTCAGCAGCAAGGCTGGCAACAGCTACCAAAGTTTTGGGGTCATTTGTACCCTCTGCAGTGGCAATGCCCCCTCCTGCCACAGAGCATGCCAGGGGATGGTGTGTGATGCCAGAGGGCATCACCATAAGGCAAGGGGGAAATCAAACATGCTCCTTACCCCAACCCCCAAAACACACTCAGTGGCACATGGCAAGTGATTTTTTCCTCTCTCCACCCCCCATCTCCTTGATTTGAGACTTCTCAGCCCCTCAGCATCCCAGGGCTCCCCGGGTGTACCCAGGGGTGGGGGTAATTAGCCCCTACTGCTGTAGTAGTTGCCTCTGTTGCACTCCTCCCTTTTAGAGGCACTCCTC